TTTTTTCATGACTTTGTTTTTGTCTGTCTGTCTGTCTGTCTGTCTGTCTGTCTGTCTGTCTGTCTGTCTGTCTGTCTGTCTGTCTGTCTGTCTGTCTCTCTGTCTCTCTGTCTCTCTGTCTCTCTGTCTCTCTGTCTCTTCTCTCTCCCCCCTCTCTCCCCCCTCCCCCTTCCCACCTCCCTCCCTCCCTCCCCCTCTCCTTCCTCACTTCACCTCCCTCTCCCCCACCTCCCTCCTTCGAGTCGGTCAGTAAGGAACTATATGGTTCTTGACAAGCCGCCGGCCTCCAGTCCCCGTCGAGGAGATGGTTGCCCTTAGGTAAATTCAGGTATAACTAGTGCACATCCCCCCCCCCCCCATCCCATCCCCCTTTGTTTTACTCACTTGGCGTGTTGATCTGTCCATCTTTGGTGTCTGAGATCATGTTGGCGCCCACCACATTTTGGCGGGAAGGTGTGGTGCAGGACCGGGGTCTGGAACCCTTGCTGTTCCTGCGGTGTAGACCGTCAAGGCTGGCTGACACTGTACCAGGTGTGTGGGGTTACCGACGTGACCACCACATCACTCTCTCAGGCTGCTGACAAGCTCGCTAGATGTCTGGAGCTCAACAATACCTTACAATACGTTTCTGACTGGTGGTTCCCTAGCGGCCGATGACATCATCGTTGTGGGCACAGTCTCTTTTTTTTTTCCTTCTCCCGCTGTTACTCACAGAATATGAGGGGCGCAGTTCACTACCGCTCACAGAATATGAGGGGCGCAGTTCACTACCGCTCACAGAATATGAGGGGCGCAGTTCACTACCGCTCACAGAATATGAGGGGCGCAGTTCACTACCGCTCACAGAATATGAGGGGCGCAGTTCACTACCGCTCACAGAATATGAGGGGCGCAGTTCACTACCGCTCACAGAATATGAGGGGCGCAGTTCACTACCGCTCACAGAATATGAGGGGCGCAGTTCACTACCGCTCACAGAATATGAGGGGCGCAGTTCACTACCACTCACAGAATATGAGGGGCGCAGTTCACTACCGCTTACAGAATATGAGGGGCGCAGTTCACTACCGCTCACAGAATATGAGGTACACAGTTCACTACCACTCACAGAATGAGGTACACAGTTCACCAACACTCCAGAATATGAGGTACACAGTTCACTACCGCTCACAGAATATGAGGTACACAGTTCACTACCACTCACAGAATGAGGTACACAGTTCACCAACACTCCAGAATATGAGGTACACAGTTCACTACCGCTGACAGAACGCGAGGAACACAGTACACCGCTCACAAAATGAGCACATGGACATATAAAACACACGAATTCGTTAACAGATTCTATAATAATCTGACTATTTCATCTGCACATAATTTTGGCTGCCAAAAATCATGGCATAGATTAAATTAAATATTCCGCGAGTGGTCCATTGATTATCCGGCTAGTAAATAGTGGCACTCTTACCACTGGTGAGTAAATATTTACAAAGGCATTTGGAAACTGTTTTTCTTCAGTGGAATATGTCACCAGTATGTAAACAGAATGATGGTGGCACACTTGAGATGGATTGGCTCCTTGTCACTCCTTGCCAGCAGCCCCAGGCTCCTTGTCTGCTTGTCAGCAGCCTCTGGCTCCTTGTCAGCAGCCCCAGGCTCCTTGTCTGCAGCCCCTGGCTCCTTGTCTGCTTGTCAGCAACCCCTGGCGCCTTGTCAGCAGCTTCTGGCTCCTTGTCAGCAGCCCCTGGCTCCTTGTCTGCAGCCCCTGGCTCCTTGTCAGCAGCCCCTGGCTCCTTGTCTGCAGCCCCTGGCTCCTTGTCTGCAGCCCCTGGCTCCTTGTCAGCAGCCCCTGGCTCCTTGTCAGCAGCCCCTGGCTCCTTGTCAGCAGCCCCTGGCTCCTTGTCAGCAGCCCCTGGCTCCTTGTCACTCCTTGTCAGACAAGAGAAATGTGTTCGAAATGACTTTCTCGCGACACAATACACCCGGGCGAGTCGCGGCTGGTGATAGTGGTATTGGAGTGTGTGTGTGCGCGGTGCGTGAGATGGGGTGTGTGGTGGGTGTTGGAGGTGGGGCCAGTGGAGTCTAGCAGCAGTGGGAGGAACAGGAGGAGGGTCGTCATGGGTTGAGGTAGACGATTATGCAACCTTGCAAGTGCTCGTCCCCCCTCCATGACCCGCCACACAAGCTGCCTCACCCCCCGGGTAAAGTATGGCCGGGGTGGGTTGGGCAGGAATTCCATTGCAAGGTGGACTAGCAATCTCGAGTGATCCGGTCTGATAGGTGACCATTAGACTTTAACCCAGGCAAAATGCAAGATTTTGAGGATGGGAGATGGAACAGGAAGACCTTCACATACAGTGTTAGATGAAGGGAAGGCAACTTCCAACTTCTGAAAGAGAGAGAGACTTAGTAGTGGACACAACTGGAGACCTACCAGCAGAGGCAGACATCAGCAGGATAACAGCAGAGGCAGACATCAGCAGGATAACAGCAGAGGCAGACATCAGCAGGATAACAACAGAGGCAGACATCAGCAGGATAACAGCAGAGGCAGACATCAGCAGGATAACAGCAGAGGCAGACATCAGCAGGATAACAGCAGAGGCACACATCAGCAGGATAACAGCAGAGGCAGACATCAGCAGGATAACAGCAGAGGCAGACATCAGCAGGATAACAGCAGAGGCAGACATCAGCAGGATAACAGCAGAGGCAGACATCAGCAGGATAACAGCAGAGGCAGACATCAGCAGGATAACACCAGAGGCAGACATCAGCAGGATAACACCATTTGGCAGGATAACGAGGGCAGCATATACCACACTGACAAACGTCCCGTTATCCTTCACCAACTTGGACAAAGATCCCTCCCAAGCGCTGTATACAACCTTCGTGAGACCCGTTACTGAGTATGCAGCACCGGCATGGAAACCCCTCCCTAAAGAAACAAACAAAACTAGAAAACATCCAAAAATATGCAACAAGGCTCATGCCTGAGCTAAGGCGATTGGGCTTCACTACACTGAAGGAAAGGAGGAGTATGGCAGACATGATAACGACATAGAAGATACAAGGATTGACAAAGGAGATACAGAAAATGTTCAAATTAAGGAACAGTATAACGAGAGGACATTTCTGGAAACACAGATGAGTCACAGGAGTGCCAGAAAGAACATTTTTGTCTCAAGAGTCGTAAGTCAAACGGATTAGTTGAGGAAAGTTGTTGAAACCAATTCGATACACAGTTTTAAATGTAAATATGATTGTGAAAACGAGAGTCACTGCATTGATTTAATGATGGTTGAAAGGCGGGGCTGAAGAGCAGAGGCTTGACCCCCCAACACCACACACGTGCGTGCGTGCGTGCGTGTGTGTGTGTGTGTGTGTGTGTGTGTGTGTGTGTGTGTGTGTGTGTGTGTGTGTGTGTGTGTGTGTGTGTGTGTGTGTAATAACAATACACTGAACGGGCTTCCCTCCTCTTTTCTTTCTTAACTTTCTCATTTTTTATAGCTTTGTGTGTACTCACCTAGTTGTATTTGCGGGGGTTGAGCTTCGGCCCTTTGGTCCCGCCTCTCAACTGTCAATTAAGTGGTGTACAGCATGCTGAGGCTATTGGGCTCTATCATCATTTGAAACTGTGTATGGAGTCAGCCTCCACCACATCACAGCCTAATGTATTCCATCTGTTAACTACTCTGATACTGAACAAATCTTTCTAACGTCTCTGTGGCTCATTTGGGTACTCAGTCTCCACCTGTGTTCCCTTGTTCGCGTTCCACTCGTGTTAAATTGTTTGTCTTTGTCCACCCTGTCAATTCCTCTGGGAATTTTTAAGGTGGTGACCGTGTCTCCACTAACTCTTCTATCTTCCAGGGACGTGAGGTTTAATTCCCGTACTCTTTTCTCGTAGCTCATACCTCTTAGCTCGGGGATTAGCCTGGTGGCATACCTCTGAATATTCTCTAATTTTGTCTTGTGTTTAACTAGGTATAGACTCCAGGCTGGAGCTGCATCCTCTACGAGTGGTCTGACATATGTGGCAAACAAGGTTCTGAACGATTCCTTACACCAGTTTCAGAAGGCAATTTTTATGTTGGTCAATGTAGCATATGCTGCTGATGATATCCTTTTGATGTGGGCCTCTAGGTACAGGTTCTGTGTGATATCATCCCCCAGATCTTTCTCTCTACTGTGTACTCACCTAGTTTTACTCATCTAGTTGTTGCTTGCGGGGGTTGAGCTCTGGCTCTTTGGTCCCGTCTCTCAACTGTCAATCAACTGATGAGGAATGAATGTGTGTGTGTGTGTACTCTCCTAATTGTACTTGCGGGGGTTGAGCTTTGGCTCTTTGGTCCCGCCTCTCAACCGTAGAGGCGTGTGTGTGTGTGTGTGTTCTCACCTAGTTGTACTCACGTAGTTGTGTTTGCGGGGGTTGAGCTCAGGCTCTTTGGTCCCACCTCTCAACCGTCGTGTGTGTGTGTGTGTGTGTGTGTGTGTGTGTGTGTGTGTGTGTGTGTGTGTGTGTGTGTGTGTGTGTGTGTGTGTGTGTAATTACCTAAGTGTAGTTACAGGATGAGAGCTACGCCCGTGGTGTCCCGTCTTCCCAGCACTCTGTCATATAACGCTTTGACGGTTACACAAGAGACGGGGGAAAAGTGTGTGGTCGCGGGACAGGTTAGACAGGAGCGACGGGATAGTGTGTGCCCGGGCTGTGAGAAATAGGATGCCAAATCGCCTCCGTTTACAATTTTACTGTAACATTATCTTCGACCTCGGCGTTAAGAGTTCCAAAAATACTGACCGCAGATTCGACCTAAAAGAACAACGCATTATAACTATTGTCTTAGACCTCGAGACATTGTAGGTAGACACTGGGTAGGGAATAGTGTCTTAGAAGTGAGTGAGGTTAGGTTAGGTTCATAACACAAAGTGTAGAGTTTCAAAAGAGCGCGAGGGAGGGTCTGAAAGTGTCGAGAAGGAGAAGATACTGGGCCACTTACCACTGCTAAGGTCCGGGACGCTGATAGACTGGTACGAGAGGTCTTGAAATCCCCGACTGAGGTCCTCGGAGCTGCGCCTGTTGACCTCGTACTCGAACTGAGACTCGCGGCGCCCTCCGGGGCCCGCATGCGGCCAGAAAACCAGACGCACGCGGCTTGAATCTGTCTCCTCCTTGGCGCTGGCGCCAGTTTCGCCCCGCGAGTAGCTGCGGCTTAGCGCGGGGCGCACCCGCCGGTGATTACTGCTTGCGGGCAGGTAATTGCCGCTTGCGGTCAAATTGCGGAAGGGGAGGCTGCCGCCACTTGACCTGCGGAAGACGCGCTGGAGATCGAGGGGCGTTTCGCGGACGGTTGCAAGCCGGTCCAGCAGAAGTCCGCTGCTGCCGCATCGCCGATGTCCTTTAATGCCGCCCTGGATGGCGCTGGACCTGACGTTTGCGGTCATCTTCAAATTTTTTCAAATTCAAATTCAAATTTGAATCTTCCTTCTCTACTCGGCGCTACGCCCAGCTAGCTCGGCTACCGTGCCATACTTCCGTTCTTCCTGCTTCACTTGATTCATGTGTGTGTGTCAAAGTACTGTACTCACCTAGTTGTGCTTGCGTAGGGGGGGGGGGGGTTTGAGCTCTGGCTCTTTGGTCCCGGCTCTCAACTGTCAATCAACTGATGTACAGGTTCCTGAGCCTACTGGGCTCTATCATATCTACATTTGAAACTGTTTATGGAGTCAGCCTCCACCACATCACTGCCTAATGCATTCCACTTGTCTACTACTCTGACACTGAACAAATTCTTTCTAACGTCTCTGTGGCTCACGTGGGTAATGTGAAGTGGTTTGATGCACCTCGGTGTTCACTTTGTGGCGTGTGTGTGTGCACGAGGTTGCGTGCGTGAAGGTGCTGGCACCCCCAGACAGGCGTGGAGGAAGGCGTGTGTCGCGGGCGTGCCGTGGGTGGAACAGAGGAGCCAGGAGCAGCTGTGTTGAGAGAGGATCCCCTCGAGGTCCAGCCTCAGAACTGTGAAGTGGAAACCGCCCTAGCTTCTCGCCAGCCTATCCCTCCCTCCCTCCCTACCCCCATGTATCACCTGTCACCTGCCCTCTATCCTTCGCTTCACTCATGCTTGTTGTTGTTTTGGATTCAGCTACTTAGAACACAAGTTCCAAAGTAGCACGGGCTATGGTGAGCCCGTAGTGGACTTACCTGGCACAGGAGCGGTGCTGTAACCGTTCACCTAACTGATGACGCATAGCGGGTGGGTCCCATTCTTTCATGGTCTTGTATCCCGCGGTCTTTTCTTGAATAACTTTTCTCTCTCGTGTTACCCCTATACTACGGTAGCTGGCAATATATCTTTACCTAAGTTTGCCTTAGAGCCACTAACACGAGTGGCCTCGACGAGGACAGGAAGCCGGCGGCTTGTTTAAAGTTTTACCTTTGACAAAAGGCAAAATACTGTTGATGTATGCCTATCGTATACTGCCTAGGAAACACTGAGGCATCTAGCGGTCGTCATTACCCAGACTACTCGCTGATAAATGAGGATATGTTGAAGAGTTTCAAGAATAGATTGGATAGGTACTGTATTACATGGGCGGGCCAGTAGTGGGGCGAGGGGATAGATATCAACAAGACCTGCCAAGTTTGGGCCAATAGCCTACTGCAGTGACCCACGAAGTGAAATGTTACTATACCTTATGGATCTCGGCTTTAGGCACTTCAGTGCTGAGGTCTGACTCTCCAGATTGTCACCGTAATAAAAAAAAGAGGCTTTGATTCCTTAAGACTATTTGCCATCATGCAAGCCATGATGAAACAGAATTGCAAAAAGGATTGCATTTATTAGATTATTTTGTTGGCTTCTTTGCACCTCTTCTTGCTTTAGTACTGTGGTGCTGGTACAGCAGGTGTGGGACATTGTACGAGGTACCACAGCAGGTGTGGGACATTGTACGAGGTACCACAGCAGGTGTGGGACATTGTACGAGGTACCACAGCAGGTGTGGGACATTGTACGAGGTACCACAGCAGGTGTGGGACATTGTACAAGGTACCACAGCAGGTGTGGGACATTGTACAAGGTACCACAGCAGGTGTGGGACATTGTACGAGGTACCACAGCAGGTGTGGGACATTGTACAAGGTACCACAGCAGGTGTGGGACATTGTACGAGGTACCACAGCAGGTGTGGGACATTGTACGAGGTACCACAGCAGGTGTGGGACATTGTACGAGGTACCACAGCAGGTGTGGGACATTGTACGAGGTACCACAGCAGGTGTGGGACATTGTACGAGGTACCACAGCAGGTGTGGGACATTGTACAAGGTACCACAGCAGGTGTGGGACATTGTACGAGGTACCACAGCAGGTGTGGGACATTGTACAAGGTACCACAGCAGGTGTGGGACATTGTACGAGGTACCACAGCAGGTGTGGGACATTGTACGAGGTACCACAGCAGGTGTGGGACATTGTACGAGGTACCACAGCAGGTGTGGGACATTGTACGAGGTACCACAGCAGGTGTGGGACATTGTACGAGGTACCACAGCAGGTGTGGGACATTGTACGAGGTACCACAGCAGGTGTGGGACATTGTATAAGGTACCACAGCAGGTGTGGGACATTGTACGAGGTACCACAGCAGGTGTGGGACATTGTACGAGGTACCACAGCAGGTGTGGAACACTAATGGGGCACCACAGCAGGTGTGGGACATTGTACGAGGTACCACAGCAGGTGTGGAACACTAATGGGGCACCACAGCAGGTGTGGGACACTGTAATGGAGCACCACAGCAGGTGTGGGACACTGCATGAGGCACCACAGCAGGTATGGGACACTGCATGAAGCACCAAAGCAGGTGTGGGACACTGCATGAAGCACCAAAGCAGGTGTGGGACACTGCATGAAGCACCAAAGCAGGTGTGGGACACTGCATGAGGCATTGCAGCAGGTGTGGAACACTGCATGAGGCACCACAGCAGGTGTGGGATATTGTACAAGGCACCACAGCAAGTGTGGGACACTAATCTGGCACCACAGCTGGTGTGGGACACTAATGGGGCACCACAGCAGGTGTGGGACATTGTACGAGGCAACACAGCAGGTGTGGGACACTAATCGGGCACCACAGCAGATGTGGGACATTGTACAAGGTACCACAGCAGGTGTGGAACACTAATGGGGCACCACAGCAGATGTGGAACACTAATGGGGCACCACAGCAGGTGTGGGACACTGTAATGGGGCACCACAGCAGGTGTGAGACACTGCATGAGGCACCAAAGCAGGTGTGGGACATTGTACAAGGCACCACAACAGGTGTGGCACCCAGGACATCACAAATAGTTCTGTGAACCAGCCTATCATGAAATGGTGTCCTATTAAGATATCACGTGGTAAATGAGGATGCTATTATTTATTTTATTTATTTTCATTTATTTTTATTTATAAGAGTTCTTACATTGTTGTACAGCCACCAGCACGCATAGCATTTTGGGCAAGTCCTTCCTTAATCCTATGTTCCCTAAAATACGACCTGCCAAATTGTTTAGCAACTAGGTACCCATTTTACTGTTGGGTTAAATAGAGGCTACTGTTAAGGATTTGCGCCTGGTAAATGCTCCCCAGCTAGGATACGAATCCAGAACAAAATGCTCGCAAAACGCCAGGCAAGTGATTTACCACTACACCACAGGGACTGATTAGTGCTGTCATTCTATTGCTATCAGAGAAATCTGTATTATGTCAAGTTCAAATTTGTCCATTTGAGCATTTTTTTCATGTCACATTTATTTTCCAGAAATGGAGAAGCATGGGTTGGTAAAGGTGACGACCGTGGTGGTCGAGCCAGGCTCGTCGGAGGGCATGGGGTCGGAGAGCGTAGGAGCTGACCTGCGGGAGCTGACCCAAGCCACACTGCCTCCGCACCTGCGCTTCTGGCCCACAGAGATGCCCTTCTGTAACACTCAGGACCAGCCGCCCTTCGCTGACGTGTGCTTCATGGTTGAAGGTTACCCATTTATGTGTCACAAGGTGAAGAATCTTCAACTTTGCATTGATTAGTTAGAATGGAATTATATTTTCCTAATTAAGATGAATTGATTTGTTAACAAAATGACCTGTTTAAATTGATAAGTATTGGGTAGATGATGGGGAGTAGTTGGGGTTATGTGTAGCAGAGAGGAACTCTGGGGAACATATTGCATGTGACAGTCTTCAAATATTATATTGTGTCCCCCTTGTCAGGGACAGGAAGCCTGTTAGGCTTATCTGGGTCCCCTTAGGCTAATTACTGAACTTTCCCAGGATGCAATCCAAAGCAGTTGCCTGACTCCTGGGTACCTATTTACTGCTAGGTTAACAGAGGCATTAGGTGAAAGGAAATGTACCCAGACATATCTGGTAGTGCTAATAAGAAACCTGGACATTTCAGTTGTGACCTGGCTGTGCTAATGATTGCACAACAAGACTCCTTGTATACAGTATATGATAAATATTCTGTGTATGCAGATCATCCTCTCGCATATCCCTTGCAGTCCCAAAACATGATGAAGTCGTAGACCTTGAAGGATTTAGCACTTGTTGATGGCAGTGTGGTAACACATTCGCCACGCAACATTCAAGCAATTTGGTCCGGGTTCGAGTCTTGGCCAGGATGGATTGTCTGGGTGTCAATCTTTAATTGTTTGCCCCTGTTCGTGCAGCAATAATTGGGTGCCTAGTTGTTAATCAATTGCTGGGTTGTGTTCCAAGGAAAATTAATAGGGCTACGGCTTACCTCTATTAATGTTCACCTTATCTAGAGTGTTTCTGTTGAGTCACTTCTAAATACTGCCACAACTTATACTTAAGCCTTCAGCCTGCCACTACTTATACTTAAGCCTTCAGCCCTGGCGTCTTCAACACCAAACTGCCTATTGGTCACTAAACTATAAATGTGATGAGGACCCAAAGATGAATCCCTTAAAGTGCTTCATTTTGCAATAAGGAGATTCCTACGACCAATTTGAATCAGGACCAGGTGGAGCAAATCTGAGGAGGGACCCATAGGACCCTTACTCAACTGTGTGGCCTGGCCCCTGTATGTTTGCTCTCGTCTTTGCTGATTCTGACACTGTGTTCTATGTGTGACTTTGAAAATCAATATAAACTCTTTTTGCAGCTTTAAACAGTAATATTATTCTTGTCATATTAATGATTTTCTTTGACAGATGTTCTTTTGTCCGCGGAGTGAATACTTCAAAGCATTGCTGCGAGATCATTTTAATGAAACTGAGTGGAGGGATTCATCAGATTCACGCATCCCGGTAGTCACCCTCCACAACATCTCGGCTGAAGTGTTTGCCATTCTTGTGCATTACCTCTACTGTAATCAGACAATTGTGAGTGATAAGCTGAATCAGACTTTGTGTAACATACTAGCAGTTGTTTATATCTGAACAGTTAAATTCAAGATGATGTATATTAAAGTCATGAAATGTACCTCAGAAAATTACTGGGGTAGTTATAAAAACCTTTCACTTACCAGTTGCTAAGATTGTAAAATCATATTTCCCAGATTTTTGAGTACTGTACACTGCTGTTTAGTGTATGGTACTCAAATAACAACATTACAGAATCTGTGAATACAGTATATGTAATGTTTCAATGCCGTTTTCACTACTTATGTTCTTAAGCTGATTACAATATTTTCTGGGAGATCCCTTTGAGTACCATATTGAGCTTAAGCACTGGTATTGTCAAGTTTTAAGAAATTTCACAATGCCTTTGAGACACTTCTTGGCCTGCCAGAAGCCAGAACAAGAATCTGACACTCTCTCTGAGGTGAGGGATGCCTGGGAGATTATTATTGTCCCCAAAAGTAAGGAAAAATTCAGTGATAATTTAAATGAAATGTTTCTTTCTAGTCAGACCACTTGTGAATGGTAGAGCGATGGTCTCACCCTTTGCAGGTTAGCATTCAATCCCTGACTATCCAAGTAGTGGGGCACCATTCCTTCCCTACATCTATTCCAAATTTTTATCCTCATCTCTTCCAAGTACTAAATAGTCATAATGGCTTATCACTTTCTCCTGATAATTAGCTTTCTGGTGCACCACTCATTAGCTCTTCATGTCTGCTCTGTTTCCCTAGGAGTTGGCAGGTTATTCCTTAGTGTGGCTTGTAAATATATCCGCTGGTTGGCAGAGATCCTGCTGGCTCCTTACCTTGCGATGATTTCTGAGCTCAACGTCCCCACGGCCCGGTGTGGCTCACCTGGATCTGTGACAAGGCCAGGTTCTGGATCTGTGTAAGGGCCAGGTTCTGACTCTAGTCCCTGGTAGGCTTCATGGCTACCGAATAGTAACCTAATATTCGGGAGTCATCTCAGTTTCAAGGAGGCACTGGGGCTCATCCAGAAAGAAGAGTTTTATTACATTCAACACCATTATTTTTTTATTGATCACAAGAATTAAAGTTTTGAAAATGATAATTATTTTGGTTAAACAAATTTTGCTTTGTTAACAAGCTATTCATGGTGTAACTACAGTATTTTAATCATTTAGCGGCATAGGTAGATGTAAGACTATCATTTATTTTCCTATTACAGTAGTTTATGCAGATGAATTATCGAATAGATAACCATATATTAATCTCGTATGAAATTCAGTACAGAGGTTGTGTGTTGACAAAATGAAGAGGAATGATTATTTAACACTGTAGTGCAGAAAGTGATATTAATTATAAAGTGATATACTCTGAGTAAATTCATCATCTAGTTTCAAATGCTTACAGGTGAACATGGAGAATGCAATGGATGTTATGGTGGCAGCAGATATGCTACTGGTCCCAGGATTAAAGCGTCAGTGTGGCATTTACCTGAGCACTCAACTCAACACCGACAATGTCATTACCATTCTCCGCTTGTCACGTATGTTCCAGCTGCCGCGGCTGGAAGATCAATGTGTGGCCTTTATGGCCAAAAATCTGGATCAGGTGCAGTATTATGTACCATTTGTTGAAAGCATTGTTTGTATGTTGCATTCTCTCACTGCTTTGCCAAAACTTTGAGCATATTAGTGGCTTAAGGCATAGTATATACTAGCTCTATCTAGAAATCCAACATTCTGCTTGTAAGTCAATATGTATGTATGTATGTATTTCTACCTAAATCAACTATTAGGTATTTATTTATTGAAATTTGGCATTTATTTACTGTTTGTTTTCCATCAGTTTAGATACATGTTTTTTCTCCCTGTAGGTCTGAATAACTAGCCTGGTTAAAGTATTCAGTCTAATTTTTGAATATCATGATATTGTTCACTGACCCAAAAAGGCCTAGCTTCTCTTGTTATATAACTAGAGGCACGAAATGCAAGGGGCACACCTAACCTTCAATGTACGTTCGCTTGATCGAATATACATTCGCTTGATCGAATATACAATCGCTTGATCGTAAGACCCAACTTCATTGCTCATTGTTTAAAGTATGGTAAACTCATTTAAGTGTGATTGCTCTCAGCATGCCAGAAATTATCAGCAACAAATTTAGACCATCCTGTATATATATGTTGCTAAAACTACTGTACAGCTAATGTATTGAACTAGGCTTCTACAAGTTATAATCTCAGGAGGAAACACAGCAAAATGCTCAGTGGGAAGAAATTAAAGCTTACTCATTCTGTATGTAGAAAGTACTCTCCCAAAGAACATGATCATGATCGAGCACAAAATAACTCAGACTGCTATTGAAATAAAGAGAAATAATGAAAAAAAATTTCATTGCTAACTCTGAAAATTAAATGATGCTAGGGTTAAGGCAGGCAATTAGTAATAAAGTATGCTGTATTTGGTGAGTACAAAATGCTTTTTGTTATTCCATATTTGGAAAGGTGCAGATGAAGTATTCATGCTGGTTGATGTATTCTTAATCGGGTTTACCTGAATTTAGTTGAGGGCCACTAATACTAGTGGCCTTGATGAGGACAGAAAGCCGACGGCTTGTCAATGGTCCCCCCATTTGCTCTGATGATCTTTTCCAGCTATATTTTAAAACCCAGCAAAGATTTGGCATGTATGGCTACAACAGGTAAGCAGTTCCACGGGTTCCAACACAACCACATAGCCGTATGCCAGGCCTTGGGAACCTGGAATGGGGCTGCTTAAGTGGAGCACCTAAACTCCCTCACCACTCGCACTTTCACAGTGTCTTGTGAAAGACATTTGTAGGGGTATAAATGTAATATCATTGGCTGTACTGTACTGATGTATTTCCCTTTGCTGGTAACGGCTTACCAAGCAGCATCTGCTTCATGGAATTGGGCATCCCATTCTTCTTTTCTGTGTCCCAGGTCAGAATTAGTCAGCCTAGAATTAAAGCCCTTGCTCTTTTCTGGATGAAGTGAATGGTGGCTCCCTGTTTCTAGCCGCACTGGAATTGCTCCACACGTATCAGTTACATCAGCCCTAGGAAGTCTTCATAGTCTACCGGAGACCAAAGGCCAAAACCTAGCCCGCTTACAGAGGTGCAGGGAACAGGTGGAGTCTAGATCACCCTCAAAGAAGAAACGCCCAAAGAAATGAAGTGAAACAAAACAGACAACTGTAAGGTGCACAGAAGGTACACAAACAAAGCAGCAAATGATTCTGCAAACATCTATCTTGTATCCTCAGGCTACCTATGTATCTTTTGGAGGGCTAGAGTCTGGATTTGGTTCCCTGGTGGAACTCATGATTCATTAGCTCCTGGTGGGGCACCTTAGGCTTAGAGGTCAACCTGCTCACTTGAATAATACATCGCTTTTTGACATCAAAATCCCCAACGGACAAATTATAACGTACTATAAATCGTAGCGGCTTGCAAACATTCACGTTTTCTATACGTGGGTCCATCAATTCTGTTAGGTTAGATTAAGTTCGGGCAATTTAGTACAGTACGTAATTTTCTGTCCGTTGTGACAGCTTTAGAAAACGGGCTGTAGTGGTAGCATGGTTGATAGCTCGTGGAGCCACCAAAGAACCCATCAGAAAAACGCATTTCATTGAATTCGATATGGAATTTTCTCACTTCCTTTTATCAGTTAATCTCTTTTTTGCATTGTATTATCATGTAATCACAGATTTTTCCAGATATTCATCTTCCTGCTTAAAATTACATGCATACAATGACATGTTCCTTTTCACAAGCACATACTTTAGGTTCATTTTCTTTCGTTGTTGTCAGTGTTGTACTGTACGTACTCATGAACATTATATCCTCATGACAAAGTATGTATCAATAATAAATACATTTCTATAATTACACTCACTTTCAGTTTAAAGCAGTTGCAATTTTTTCATAGGACATCGTAAATACAGTATATATATATACAGTATATACTTATGTTATTCTCATTGCATTATTTTATGCTGTTTTACTGTGTATGAATTTCTGGGGGAACTCTCTTGTAGCTCTCTGAAGCTATTATGCTTAAATAATGCCAAACTACTAGGTGCCATCAGTCACAGAGTTCTTGTAGTCCTACCAGAGACTATGAGTCAGAACCTGGCTCACTCTGGAGAGATGCAGGGAGCAGTGCCAACATATGAACAAATTTCTATGAATATAATCATGTCAGCCACCACTAGGGAAGCAGCCAGAAAGTCAGCATAGCAAAACAGACCACTGCTGATTATAAACTAGACCACAGTCTCAAAAACTGCCTAAAGAACTCCCTCAACAATGTAAACAAATGATTGAAAATTCATGAAACAAGTGCGAGCTAGTTTAGCCCACCTTTCCCCCCCGCTCCTTTGTTTGAGGAGGAGGGAGGCAGACCTGGTCAACTGGCTGCTCCACACACAGTTTATGCTGATGGGGAGCCGGTCGGCCGAGTGGACAGCACGCGGGACTTGTGATCCTGTGGTCCTGGGTTCGATCCCAGGTGCCGGCGAGAAACAATGGGCAGAGTTTCTTTCACCCTGATGCCCCTGTTACCTAGCAGTAAAATAGGTACCTGGGTGTTAGTCAGCTGTCACGGGCTGCTTCCTGGGGGTGGAGGCCTGGTCGAGGACCGGGCCGCGGGGACACTAAAAGCCCCGAAATCATCTCAAGATAACCTCAAGATAAGATGGTAGCTAGTGCCTGGCTGTCCTCTCTGTCGCTCGGGCTTCGGTGTTCTGTTTCAACTTGGTGGTGGTTTTTATGTCTTTGTGGCTGTTCCAGTGCACATTTGTGCTATTTGAGTCAAGTGTTTAGTGCCATTGGAGCTGCATGTACTTAGGGTTTACTTCCCTGTGTGCTCCCTAGTGCTGCCCTTGCACTGCTAGGGTTTTTTAGCAAACAACCTTGCATTAGTTTCATGAATTTTCAATCATTTGTTTAGACTGCTGAAGGCATTCTTTTGATAATTTTTGAGATTGCAATCTAGCTTACAATCAGAAATGGTCTATTTTGTTTCGCTGACATTTTTGAGTGCTTTCCTTTGGTGGTGGACATGATTAAATTCTAAGAAATTTTTATCATAGTGCAACTGCTCCCAGTGCCTCACTTGAGGGGGCTGGGTTGTGGCTCTTGGGGACTAGTAAGCCTACATGAACTCAGCAACTGATGGCACCTGGTACTTTGGTACTATATCTGTATAGTAGCTACAGGGAGCCACTGGGGCTCACCCAGAAATTGGTGCTTCATTACATTCAACGCTGATTTTTTTTATATCAGGTACTGGAACTTCAAGAATTTACAGATCTGGTTCTAGCAGATGCACAGGATGTACAAGGCAGACAAGAAACCGACTCTGTTCAGATTGTGGATGAGCTGCGTTATCACATATCATCAGCGGTGCAGACAATATCTGGAATCCACGAAGCTCGCACAAAACTGTCATCCTTAGAGGCTTTACTGGAAGAACTTGGCATTGAAGCTTAGATACTTATCTATCAGATGGTAGAATGATTAATTTCTAGTAATATATTTAATTTAAGGAATTTGGAAAATGCTAGGTGCATTTTGGCATTGGTCCACACATGGGATACGATGATGTATAATCCATCATATGATGGGAATTATATTATATTTCTTAAAGAAAGATAATTGAGTTATGTTTTAGTTCCTCTAAATGTATTTACGAAACAATAAATATTGCAGATGTCACTAAACTCTGAAACTTGATTACTGTATTAACAAAATTAGATTTGATATAACATTATATATTTTTTAATTGTATATTACTTTGTACATTGCATATCTGTTTGTTGCCAGTTTCTTGGAAGGAGTCTTGGTTGCTTCTCAAGCTCAACTCTGGTACCATTGAACCTTAGCCTCAGGTCTTTGAGACCCAACTGTAGCCTACCTGAAGTTTGGACCAAAATCTGGCTCACTCTGTGAGGTGTTGGGAAGGGAAGGGAACTATCAGGAGAAAGCATCAAGCCATTACGACCATATAGTCCTTGGAAGGGATCAGGATAAGGATTTGGGATGGGAGAGGGGGGAAAGGAATGACGTCCAACTACTTAGACGGTCGGGGATTGAACACCGATCTGCATGAAGCGAGACCGTCGCTCTACCGTCCAGCCCAAGTGGTTGGGCACGAGGTGTGGGGAGAGGAGAATCAGTAATTCAAAATAAAGCTTGTGAAAACCCACCAATAGCATAAAAGCAGCAAAACAAGGACAGTAACTGGGTTTAAGAAAATTAGGCTCTGCAAGGTAAACAAAAACAATTGTTATTTGGATCTGGAGACATGACCAACTGCCACTCAGTGGCAGGTCAGCTGAGGTTTAAGCCAGTTTGCCACATCACTCTTTTTACCTTGTGCCATCAGCCCAGCACCTGTTTCTTGCTACTTAGCTAATTGGTGTTGGCTTTTTATGGAAAATTGGCTCTGTTGGAGGCCACTGCTTTGATTGCTTTTATTAACTCTCTATCATTGTGTTTACATGACCCACATTGAAAAGTATCCTAGCATTCCATTTCACTCTTAACCTTGGACAGGGTTATCTTCCCTAGTGTCAGATTATTTTCCCCATATCCCACTGGAGATACCTGCTCTGAAGGGTTACGTGTTACCAGGCTCCTATAACAGCTGATTCCTCTCGAGTTGCCTTGCTGCCTGGCAGTGTATGTGATTTATTCTCACACCCACTTTATGGAGGTCCTTCATTCTTGTTGTGTTGTGCAGGCTGGGTCTTCTCCAGCCAGTTATGGACTGGTGTCGATCCCTTTTCTGTTCCCATCATCCTTTGCTTCATCTGCTATATGCCCAAGGTTGTTGTCCCTGTGGGCCATGGTTACAAGTTTATTTGTGGCTCTTCTTTGTGTCTGCCAGTTGCCATTTTGATTTCTCTCCAAGAGCTTTCTTGATTGCTTACCCTCTTGTTAATTGCTCCATTCTCTCTCATGTCCAAGGAAGTCGTGGTTTTGTGAGTTTTGTCAGTGATGGGTCTCCTCAGTCACTTTGTTGGGTGTTTTTGCTACGGTAGATTGCTCTGGTTTCAGCTTTGGGCTAATCCATTGCTTACATTTCTTGGACTCTTAGATGAGATTGGTGCTCTTGGGCATGTGTCAGTCAAGCATATGCGGGTCTGCCTGTGTGCACTACATTTAGTCCCTGTGGCTTCTAATCTATAGGGGTGCCATTTCTAGATTGTACAACATTCACATTAGGTGTATTTTGCCTGTCCTAGGAAGGTGGGCCATCTTTCCCACTTCCAGATGCTTCTTTCCATGTTGGGTTAAGAGAACTTTTGCAACTTTCTTCTTCAGGACTTTCATCTTCTAGACTGAGACAGATTCTGGTGCTGGCTCCTGGTCAGCAGCGTTTAGGTGTCAAGAGGCCAGGGGGTGTGTGGCTAGTTCTTGGTAGTTCCAGAGTTAAGCTTGGGCAATCATCAGAACAGGGTGTTCCATTACATTAAGTTGTTGGCATCCATCAGTCATAAATCATTACATTTATTATTGATTTATTCTCCTAGGTTTCTTCCATAATATATCTAGCAAATTTCTTATTTATAAGATTTCTTATATTTTATCATATGCTCATTATATTTTGTAAACTGTTCAGTTTGTGTGTTTATGTTCGGTTTTGATGTAAAATTCCAATATTTATGACACCATTCTTATTATCCCTTGATAGTCATTGTTTCACAAAGAGATTATTGCTGAAATATATGAATTTTAATATGGAACTAAAAACTTCAGACCTATCTCAGGCCTAAATCACAAACCTGAGATTTAGGCCTGAATTGTAATGTACTAGCACAATTTGACAAATTTTGATATGCACTATAGTAATCAATAGTGCTGTATAAGGAGTTAATTGAAGAGAGCCCGAGTTCTGAGCTCAGTGAGGATATCATCATCTAAAGATTGTTGTCTTATCAACTTGTAAATCAGATTTGTTTTTGTTTAGCAATTCTTCACATATGGTTAGTTTTGGTTGAGTACTGGTGAGGATGACATATTTCCTATGGGTGAATTAATGTTTATAGTTGATCATCCAAACACAATCTTGTCATTTGATATTTTGAATATGTATCTTCTTCAAATTTGAGGAATTCTTATGAGGTTTCCAGTAAATGTTGACATAATCTATAATACATTTTGAATATTTAACTTTGTCCATTTTTCAACAGATACTATTTTATAATACAAATAATCTAAACTTTAAATTTTAATTTTGTCTTTAACAAAGTGAAAACATCTTGTATGCTCTTGTAGGAGCTAAGAAACTTCAGTATTTCAGATATGGTCAAGTCCTATTGACATTTGCTTAGCTATTAAGAAATGCCAGATTTTTGTGAGAATATAAGTACTGTTGAATGTCCAGTAGGCATGATGATAATGACTACAGTCCTTCTCAGTGTTGGGCATGGTGGTGGTGATGACTGCTGTCCTTGTCAGTGTTGGGCATGGTGGTGGTGATGACTGCTGTCCTTGTCAGTGTTGGGCATGGTGGTGGTGATGACTGCTGTCCTTGTCAGTGTTGGGCATGGTGGTGGTGATGACTGCTGTCCTTCAGTCAGTGTTGGGCATGGTGGTGGTGATGACTGCTGTCCTTGTCAGTGTTGGGCATGGTGGTGGTGATGACTGCTGTCCTTGTCAGTGTTGGGCATGGTGGTGGTGATGACTGCTGTCCTTGTCAGTGTTGGGCATGGTGGTGGTGATGACTGCTGTCCTTGTCAGTGTTGGGCATGGTGGTGGTGATGACTGCTGTCCTTGTCAGTGTTGGGCATGGTGGTGGTGATGACTGCTGTCCTTGTCAGTGTTGGGCATGGTGGTGGTGATGACTGCTGTCCTTCTCAGTGTTGGGCATGGTGGTGGTGATGACTGCTGTCCTTGTCAGTGTTGGGCATGGTGGTGGTGATGACTGCTGTCCTTGTCAGTGTTGGGCATGGTGGTGGTGATGACTGCTGTCCTTCTCAGTGTTGGGCATGGTGGTGGTGATGACTGCTGTCCTTGTCAGTGTTGGGCATGGTGGTGGTGATGACTGCTGTCCTTCTCAGTGTTGTAAGGGCATGGCTGTGTTTCTACTTGTCATTACTTAATAAATGAGGAGATGGGTGAATATAATGAATATAATGAATATTACACTAGGACCAGTAAGCCGCCTCAGAGGACAGTAAGACTCGGTCCCAGTGATGAGTATGGTAATGATTACTGCAGTATGTCCCAGTGATGAGTATGGTAGCGATTACTGCAGTATGTCCCAGTGATAAGCATGGTGATGATTAGTATGTCCCAGTGATGAGTATGGTAATTACTGCAGTATGTCCCAGTGATGAGCATGGTGATGATTAGTATGTCCCAGTGATGAGTACGGTAATTACAGTACTGCAGTATGTCCCCAGTGATGAGCATGGTAGTGATTACTGCAGTATGTCCCCAGTGATGAGCATGGTAGTGATTACTGCAGTATGTCCCAGTGATGAGCATGGTGGTGATTACTGCAGTATGTCCCAGTGATGAATATGGTGATGATTACTGTAATATGTCCCAGTGACGAGCATGGTAATAGTCTGAATCTTGCAATTTCTAGTCCTTTATTAAGGTTTTGAATAAACAGCTCATCCCTAGTCATGTTTGATATTAATTCACTGTGTCGGGGGACAAGAAGCCAGAGTGTATTCATACACATTAGGTGTTGACCATGGTCCAGGACGGACCGAAACGTCGTCGTCCATTTAACTTCTAGTGTGTGGTCTGGTCAACATACTTCAGCCACGTTATTGCGACTCATCGCCTACATACACATTAGGCTTTTATCGAGGTTCCCCCCCCCCTCCCCCCGGCTTCTGGGGGGATATAGCTGGCTTCTGCTTGTTGCCGCTTTGAAATGTTATCATTGGAAATTACCTTAATATGCTGTAATAACTCGCTAAGCAAGAATTTTGATAGTTTTTCCAGGCTAATTGGCTCATTGAGATACAGGCTGGGATGCAGAGCTGATTAGAACACAATAACTGTAATTCAGTGGATAGTTATAGAAATGACCTCTCCTGCCTCGAGATTAACTTATTACTTTTACGTTTCATCAGTGCTATGGTATAGTCGAGCACCTACACCATGCTGCTCCTTAAATATACAGTAAAGTGATCTGTTTAATGCCAGTGAATAAGGATTGTAATACTGTAATGTAATGAATATTTTAAATTGTGTTAATAACACAATTCAAGCATCTAAAATTTGCCTACTAGTAACAATTTTCTTTTGACAAAATATATCTTTTATTTATTTTTTTAAGAATATTTCTGGAAGGGCTACTCACAATGGCTCCCTAAGCTAGCTGCTCGGTTAGCTTCACACCTATCAGGCTGCACCAGGCTCTTCTCTGTCACAGAAGCCTGTCGCAGGCCTCAAGGCCAGCTTGAGTGGCCAGAAGACCACTCAGTAGAGGCTAAAGAAGTTTGGGAATACTAAATAAACCTAACCTAAGAGAGAAACCCACCAGAAAGGCAGTGTGGGCCCCCCAAGCAAGCTTCTGCACAAAGAAACGCCAACAATTCTGTCAACTAGGAACACACTTGTTAGCTGGGTATCATTAGTAGTTACACCTGCTCCCACCAGATGACATCATTGGTTGCTCCACCTTTCTG